GTCGAATTGCACGGCTACCGCTTTTTTCAGAGCGACACTGAGCACTAGCGACAGTTTTCACTGGTACACCGGGGGTAATTTTTCTACGTAGAAAAAAGACCTCCCGGTCAATATTCTAGGGGGGTCACTTTTCGTCGTTACACCGGTTGTTTACCCCTGACCTCAGATTGACCTTATGACGCGCAAGTGTTGTACAAGTGGTGAATTAAATTGATTTTCATGTTTAGTGGCGACTTAAACATTACTGGAAAATTGGACTACGTCCCGGCACAAGTAGGTCAAAATTATACGATTTTGGAACGGGATCCATGGCAATTTAATGTGATTACCACGAACATCAATAGTTAAATAACAGAAATGGAAATGGACATCCCGCGATTTTTTTTAATTGATTGGTTTACCTATTCCTTGCATGTGTGGGGGAATTTCCCACTGAATCTCACCATACATCTGTAAACACCATTCCGCACATACATGATACATCTGTCAAAACTCTATCTAAAAGGAACAGCGTGGGACTGTAGCCCTAAATACAAAGTTTAAAAGATGAAAGCTAAAAGTATCTTCAGATATAAGGAAATGATAATAAGAGAAATCACCACAATTCTTGAAAATTTTGTCTCGCTTATAAAAAGGCAATGACTATCTTGCGAAAATAAGTTGTCGCAAAAATTTAGTTATCTACAGTACTCAGATCTATACTTAATATTTCTAGCATAAAATAAAATAAATCTCTCAAACTTTGAGCGCCGAATTTCAGAAATACAGCATCACTATTCTTTTTCAATACCTATCAATAAAGACTACAGTTAGTATTAGTTCAACACGGGAAAATGATGGAATGAACATGTAAGAACGACACAAACACCCTTCTCAGATACGTATATCTTAGTAAGAAAGATTTACTGATAGTTGAGCTGGTTAACCGATGAAAAAAGGTTAAAGAGACGAAAAAGACTATAACTTTACGTAAAACATAAACGTGGATACCCCTTTTACTATGCGAGAAATGAAAATCATGCTCAGAGATGAAAAAATGCATACTCGATGATTTTAATCGAAATCATTCAAAGATTTTTGCAAGTACAAGTCTTACCTCAATTAATAAATAAAATATGGAATGAAATGTCTGAATTAAATAATTTTTAAACTCAAAAAGATGCACATTTCTTAAAAATAATCAATTCAATTAAATGCAATTTATGTCACGAACGAAATTTTGACATGATGATGTTTCGCTGACATTTTTACGTAATACTAGTATTAGCTTACTTTACAGAGAAAAATATTTCAAATTCATAAAGTAACTACTTTATAATTCTTGCTTTTGTTCAGCCATTGTTTGTAGTGTACTATGTAAGTCAAACTTGATTCAATTTAAAAGGAAATTAAATATTTGAACAAAAGTTATCTTATCGAGGGAAACCGATGTCAAAGAACTTTATCCGTGGTGTATATCTATAACAATGTGTACGCCTATGAGAAATAGGATTCATCAGAAACTTTGAAAATTAAAGAGCATGTTCTTTTTTTATTTTGAAGGGCTACATGTGCTTATTAGCAAAAGCTTGTATATGGTCTGCTAGAACAATGGACTTTGTTCAATCTTGTCCATCAACAAAAGAAGATACTGACAAAAGATCAAAGATCAGAAGATGTGGGGCCCTCGCGCAAAGACAGAATTGTACGGAACCAAATAAGTTCAAATATCACTGTCTATTAAATAACCATCATCGGAAGTTTGTTGAAGTGTGTGCCGAGGAAATCTATTCTTTTGGTAAAAATTACCTTCATTAAACTGAAAATGTTACATGTAAGATTTAAAGATGTTAAAAACTTTTATCTAATTATAATTGATATCCTGATGTTTCAGGGGTTTGTATGGTATTCGATGAAATTTCAAGGCAAATACGACATGTTTACAATGTGAAATGTGGAAACAAATCATCGTCATGTCCAGAGATATTTCGTTCGAGCAATGGACATCTTTGTGAGTACTTTCACAGATCTTTAAACATTGAATATTTAACAAAACTTTAATTGCAATCACAAGTATGAATTTTTCAAGTGAACGAATTATTGATTGTATGTTGTTTAACTTCCCTCGCGACAATTTTTCACGCATATGGAGACGCCACCACCTGCCGGTAGAGTGCTATAAATTTTGAACTATGTTAGTCACTCAGCGCCTTTGAGAAGTGAGGAATCTTTTTTCGTTACATCACCTGCTGCGACACGGGGCCTTGGTTAATAGGTCTCCACGTCCCAAAATGGGATTCGAACCCGCGACGTAAGGATTGACTCCTTATTTCACGACCTTAAAGCCGATGCTCCAACCGCTTTGCACCGCGGGTGTCTTTTTCAAGTGATATAGACTAAGATACGTCCAAATTAATCAATGTGAGTCATTTAATAAAAATTAATGGAATTTTAAGTTTGTTTATGTAAACTTGAGGTATGTAGGGTAAATAATTTGTACATGAAAAATAATGTTTCGTGTTACATATTTTGTCAAAGTAAATAGCATTAGCTTTAAAATCAAATTGAAATTGGGAGGGCCAAATTCAAAATGAAAATAATTTCTAACCTGAAAAAAACTTGACAAGTATGCAAAAAAGGGAAACGTTTCTGACCATTTTCCAAACCTAGAAATCCTTCGTCGTTGGTGGGAGGGATTGGTTTGCTTTTTCAAACTTTTTTCAGTTCCAAATTACCTCACTGTCTACTTAGTATAGTTTGCAAGGGCATCAACGATTGTGGGAAACATGGAATAATTTGCATAACGGGCGAAAATATTTACAGGCATTTTAGGCCTCCTTAGCTCTTGACCTATCGATCTGCCTGATTTACATTAGAATTGTCACGAAATCATGTCCGATAACTTTCAAAGAGTTATCGCAGAAAAAAATAGAGATGGAAATATTTCCCTAACAGTACATGTACCACGTACCTTTCTTCGACTGCACTGCAATGAACGTAAAAGGCAGCTATGCTATTTGTACATTAGTTGAGATATTATTAATGTCTTGTGTATTAATAGAATAAAATAAAATTTCCTGAAAGTAGGATACGGCTCAAGTGTTGTTACACACATGGAATACTAACTTGAAGGAAACGTTAACTACAATAATAATATGAATTAACTAATATCTAAAAAGACCATACATTTCCATAGAATAGAATTTGAAATACAATGAACAAAAATATTTGAAATTGCTTTCTAATGACTAGACAAACGAAATATTTTGATATTAGATAGAAATTCAAGGCAGAAAAAAAGAAATATGCAGGCAATCATTATGAGATATTTTTGAATGATAAGAATGAACATTAATAGGGGTAACTTAAAAAAATATTTCAATAGTTAATATCTAAATATTTTTTTGTAATGGTTTGAAGACTTTGCTTATAGTTTTTTGTACAATAGTATGTGTAACAAACTGAAATTTTTCATTACATTGTAAATAAATCCCCTGGGTTCACCCTTCCGGTAACTTGTGTAATAACCCTGTGGGGAGCCCCTAAATTCCTTTAGTTCCCATAGTAACATAGCAGCCCTGTGGGGAGCCCCTCGTTTTACTTTAAATAGTAATGTTAAAGCATGCTCTGGGTAGTACCCGGGAAAAACATCAGCCGATAGACGTGTTCGTCTAGTGCTACCAGGGGGCCTGTCCATAGAAAACCACATGGGTCTTGTGCCTTATTTTCATTCCTAAAGTCTCTCTACAGAGTGTTACAGAGTATGTAAACTGTCGGGTACTGAAATTCATTACTTGAGAGTAGCCATTTCCATGTTATGGTGTGTGACAGAGACCGTAGCGTGTGAGTGAACTATGGCGGCCCGTACGACACATCTCTAAACCAGTTCTGTGAGTTACTATCATCGGGCGGTGACCCTCGTTGAACATTTCATTAACTGATTTAAAGTCTTTATATGAACGAAACATTGTGAAAGTTTGAGAATTATAACTATTGCGAATTTGGAAATAATTCTGAATATTTAGTTTCATTGAAAGACATTTCAAAGTGTTGAGCCTGGCGTCGGACCATTGTCTCTGGAACCCGAGAGGAACCCACAGTGCCACGCAGCCCGTTATTAATTAACATTGTTCCGTGCAGCCATACAAAAAGGAAACTGTAAAAATCTATTCTTAAAGAATTTCCGCACTTACGGAAGGACCAGGACAAACGGGACCTATCCATACCAAGGGACATGCGCACTGACTGACTGAGGACCAGGACCAATTAACAAATACATTTTCAATTTATTTCATTTTTGTACATTTTTTTTTGTTAAATTGTTTGTTAAAATTTCTGTTTACTTTGTTCTTTAATTTTTTTATTAAATTTTGTTAAAATTTTAAAGTTCATCTTTTGATTTTTGTAAGTTCATCAGGGTGTATAACCCACACCCTCACAGTATGATTAAAATTGAAAATTTACTTTAATATTTCACGCAGAAGTGTTAGCTAACCGGTCAACAGGGGATGCTTACTCCCCCATGGCACCTGATCCCACCTCTGATGTATGTATTTGCTCTGCCTCCTATTTTGTAATGCTTTATGGACTTTGAGATAGAGTACTGTTCGTTATATCCATATCTGGCATTGTTAAAAATACTAATTGTTTCAAATTTAAAACAGACAGGACAGAACGATTAAGGGATCTTTTGCAGTTCAATCAAAAGTGTCTTGAATATATAAACCTTAAATAACAATTGACAAGTATTGTTGAAGATTGCCAAATCATTTGCGCTATGTAAAAATAAAGAAAGCAAATAAAACGTAAAATTATATCAAATTAAGAATTTCTTTGAAAAAGAATTCATTTAGTTCATCTTTTGATTTTTGTAAGTTCATCAGGGTGTATAACCCACACCCTCACAAATGGTGGCAGCGGTGGGATACATCTGAGCTTGCATGAATCAAGAGTTTTTTTGTATTTCTGAAATTTTGATTTTGACTTTGTTTATTTTGTATGTTTCAGTTCAAACTTTCACAATGTCGCACATGCCAAAGTGGATGTCCGAGCTTATCGAGAAAGGGTCAAGCGTCACGGAGTGTTTAGAGATGTGGCGTCAGGAGCAGGAGGCCATGAGAGCTGAGAGAGATCAAGCTAGAGCTGAACGAGAGACAGTAAGAGCAGAAAAGGAAGCTGAACGAGAGCTTGAGAAAGTAAGGTTAGCTCATGAAAGAGAGGAGCGTCAGGCTAAGAGAGACAGGGATAAGTGGGAGGCTGAGAAAGAGATTAAGTTGAGAGAGTTAGCTCTTAAAGAGAAAGAGTTAGAGAAGAGTAAAACTGGTCCCTCCCCCCAGAGCATTCACACCCCTAGTGTAAAGTTGCCTAAATTTGAAGAAGGTCAAGACCCTGACGTTTTTCTAAAATCTTTTGAGAAAATAGCGGGGTTACAAAGTTTTTCTAAAATCTTTTGAGAAAATAGCGGGGTTACAAAAGTGGGATCAATCTCAATGGGCGGTTCGTTTAGTCCCAATGCTATCGGGTAAGGCTCTTGAAGCTTATTCTAGATTGTCAGATGAGGATAGCGATAATTACGATGCTATAAAAACTGCTATTCTTAAAAGGTATGAACTTACCTCAGAGGCCTATAGGAATAGGTTTAGGCAGTGTCGACAGTCCAGTGATGAATCGTTCAAAGATTTTGTGGTTAGGACAGAGAGGTTCTTTAATCATTGGTGCGAAAGGGAAGAAATTGGTTCAAACTTTCATAAGCTGTTTGATATGATGTTGAGAGAACAGGTGATAAGAAGTTGTTCAAAAGAGTTGCAACTGTGGGTACTTGAACACAGTCCAAAGTCTATTAAAGAAGTTATAACTTTGTCGGAGTCATTTCAGGTTGCGCATAAAGGCAGTTATTCAGGTGTTTGTCGTGGTAATGCAGGGGAAAAACCGGGTGCAAGACCAAACAAGTTTGGTTCGGTTCAGTCCCAGAAAGGTAAGTTTATCTCGCCTTCAGATCAGAGGAGATGTTTTAAGTGTGACAAGGTCGGGCATATTGCTCCGAATTGTCCATTGCGTAAAGTTCAGTCAAAATCTCCTCTGAATCAGAAACCAGGTAACCACAAGTCTAATGAACAGTTTGGTTTGTGTCTTGATGAGACAATGACAGTATCTGAGGATTCTGATAGTGTTCGTGAGAATAAAGTGGTGGTTAAGTTGTCTGGTGTATCGATTACTGATGATTCTGCTTTAGAATTAAGTTGTGAAACAGGTTTAGATTTGGTGAGTGGAGAAGTCGGTGGACATGTTGTCTCAGTTTTAAGGGATACTGGTTGTTCAACGGTGTTTGTCAACAGTAAATTAGTTTCAGATGAGGATAAGACTGGGAAATCAAGGGTAATTACTCTAGCTGACGGTACAAGGAGATCTTGCAATGAGGCAATAGTAAGTGTGAATACGCCATACATTTCAGGTAAGGTACACGCTTTATGTCTAGATTCTCCTTTTGCTGATGTTATTATTGGCAACAATGTGAGCATTGTAGTACCTAAGGAGGCAGACCCTTTACCCAGCATGGAGAAGGTGGACACAGTCGAAGATGACGCATGCGGAGCGGTCCAAACTAGTTCAGAGCTAAGGAAACAAGAGAGGGCAGAAAAACCAAAACTGGATGATTTAAAAGCATCGAACACCGAGAATGAAGGTATGTGGTGTAACAGGGAGGAATTGATTGAGCATCAGAAAACTGATGAGAGCTTGAAGTCAATTCTAGATATGGCACAAAATGGACCATATGAGGGTAAGTCATATTTCATCTTGAAAAATGATTTATTGTATAGAGTCTTTGAGAAGAATTCTGATGGAAAGGTCTTCCAGATTGTAGCTCCAAAGAAACTGTGCAATGGTATTATGTCATTGGCTCATGACACACCATTGGCTGGGCATCTTGGAAACAAGAAAACCAGAGAACGAATCCTGCAAAACTTCTTTTGGCCGGGTATGTATGTGGACATATCACGTTATTGTAAGTCATGCTCTATTTGTCAGAAGGGGATGCAGAAAGGGAGAACACCAAAAGCAAAACTGGTGCCAATTCCAAAGATAGACGTTCCATTTTCCAGAGTCGCCATCGACTTTGTGGGTCCATTACCAATGACAGAAAAGAAAAACAGATATATTTTGGTATGTATGGACTATGCCACTAGATTTCCGGAAGCATTTCCGATGAAAACTCAAGACGCAGAAAGTGTGGCAAATGCGCTTATGGAAATGTTCTCAAGAGTAGGCTTTCCTAAAGAAATTTTAACAGACCAGGGAACAAATTTCATGTCATCACTCATATCAAACCTGTGCAAAATGCTAAAAGTGCGTAAACTGTCAACTACCCCTTATCATCCTCAAGCTAACGGGCTAGTAGAACGATTTAATGGGACTCTTAAGCAAATGTTGAAAGCATATGCAGTTGTAGAGCCATTAAAATGGGATGTTCATTTACCATATGTACTCTTTGCCTACAGAGATGTCCCAAATGAAACGACAGGTTTTACTCCCTTCGAACTTCTTTATGCCAGACATTTCAGGGGTCCACTAGACATCTTAAAGGAACAATGGGAAGAACCAACCGAGGAACAAGCATCAGTCCTTAGTTATCTCATGGAGACACGGGAACGAATGGAGACGGTACGTAAGTTGGTAACAGAAGTGGAATCCCATGCAAAGAAGAAACAGAAGAGATATTATGACAAAAACGCCAGGAGCAGGAATTTTGAAGTAGGTCAGAAAGTTTTAGTGTTATTGCCAACCAGTACTTCGAAATTATTGGCGCAGTGGAAGGGTCCATATGAGGTGACAGAAAAGGTAAGTCCAGTTGATTTCAGAGTCAGGCTGTCCAAAAACAAAGAAACTGTTTATCACGTCAATATGCTGAAGGAATGGTTTGAAAGAGAGTCGGAGGAAAACAGTAAGTCTGAAATAATGGCATGCTTGAATGTTATTTCCAGTTTATCTAGCAATGATGTTCAGATAGAAGACGGTGTGGTGTCGGATAAAGTCCCAGCCCTTCGACAGACAGAATCGTCAGCCGACGTACTATATTCAAACGACCTCACCTCAGAGCAAAGGGATCAGATTCAGAGGTTAGTGGAAGAATTTGGTGATATTTTTACAGATGTTTCCAAGAAAACGCCTTTGACGAAACACTCAGTGAAAACGTCTACAGATGTGCCCATCCATATGAAACCATACCCAATTCCATATGCCTTACAAGACCAAGTGAAGCGGGAGTTACAGCAAATGATGGATCTTGGTATCATTGAGGAAACAGACAGTCCATATTCAGCACCAGTCGTCCTCATTAAGAAGAGTGACAAATCATTGAGATTTTGCGTCGACTTCCGGGAGTTGAATAAGGTAACTGTATTTGACCCAAGACCAATGCCTCGAATAGATGACATTTTGATTAAGATCAGTAAAGCAAAATTCATAAGCAAATTGGACTTGACAAAAGGTTATTGGCAAGTGCCATTAGACGAGGATGCAAAACGGAAAAGTGCATTTGTAACTCCATTTGGACATTTCAGTTTTACAGTCATGCCGTTCGGGATGGTGAATGCACCGGCCACTTTCGTTAGATTGGTAAGTAAAGTTCTTACAGGGCTGGAAAATTTCACAGAGGCTTTCATTGATGATATTGGTATCTATAGCAACAGCTGGGCCGAACACCTTGAGCATCTGAGAACAGTGTTTTCAGCGTTGAGGAAAGCGAACTTAGCAGCTCGACCTACAAAATGTGAGTTTGGTTTCAATGAACTTTGTTTTCTTGGTCACACTGTAGGAAGTGGAAAAATCAAGCCAACGATGTCAAAAGTAGAATCCATTCAGAACTTTCCCATTCCAACAACCAAGAAAAAGGTAAAGTCATTTTTAGGTATGATTGGGTTTTACCGGAAGTTCATTCCTAATTTTGCCACTTTAGCACTTCCGCTTACAGACCTGACGAGCAAGAAAACGCCTAGCAAAATCAAATGGACAAGCGAACTGATCACTCTTTCCAAGAACTAAAAGGTAAATTACTTTCAGAACCAGTTCTTCGAAGTCCAGATTTCAGTAGATCATTCATTTTGCGCACAGATGCAAGTGCATACGGATCAGGCGCGGTGCTAGAGCAAGAGTTTGAAGGCGGTAAGCATCCAATTTGTTTTCTTAGCAAAAACTTCAGTCCTGCGGAGAGAAATTATGCTGTAGTAGAAAAAGAGTGCTTTGCTATTGTATGGGCGGTCCAGAGTCTCAGAGTCTATTTAGAAGGTAAACCATTCAAAATTGAGACTGATCATGCACCTTTGCAATGGTTACAAAGGTCAAAGTTATCAAATCAACGTTTGTTACGTTGGAGTCTTCTTTTGCAAGAGTTTGTGTTCTCGATTAGGTATATTCGTGGTACACAGAATACAGTAGCAGACTCACTATCAAGGTTATGTTCAGATGATGTGGTTGAGTAATTATCTGAGATTACTTTTGTTGCAGGTATATTGTATATATAATGCTTTGTTGTAAATAGTCTGAGTTTGTTTATTTTAATTTTTAGTTTGTAGGTTTGGTCGGACTAAATGGTCTTTAGTCTTATAAGGGGGAGGTATGTAACAAACTGAAATTTTTCATTACATTGTAAATAAATCCCCTGGGTTCACCCTTCCGGTAACTTGTGTAATAACCCTGTGGGGAGCCCCTAAATTCCTTTAGTTCCCATAGTAACATAGCAGCCCTGTGGGGAGCCCCTCGTTTTACTTTAAATAGTAATGTTAAAGCATGCTCTGGGTAGTACCCGGGAAAAACATCAGCCGATAGACGTGTTCGTCTAGTGCTACCAGGGGGCCTGTCCATAGAAAACCACATGGGTCTTATGCCTTATTTTCATTCCTAAAGTCTCTCTACAGAGTGTTACAGAGTATGTAAACTGTCGGGTACTGAAATTCATTATTTGAGAGTAGCCATTTCCATGTTATGGTGTGTGACAGAGACCGTAGCGTGTGAGTGAACTATGGCGGCCCGTACGACACATCTCTAAACCAGTTCTGTGAGTTACTATCATCGGGCGGTGACCCTCGTTGAACATTTCATTATCTGATTTAAAGTCTTTATATGAACGAAACATTGTGAAAGTTTGAGAATTATAACTATTGCGAATTTGGAAATAATTCTGAATATTTAGTTTCATTGAAAGACATTTCAAAGTGTTGAGCCTGGCGTCGGACCATTGTGTCTAGATCTGGAACCCGAGAGGAACCCAGTGTGCCACGCAGCCCGTTATTAATTAACATTGTTCCGTGCAGCCATACAAAAAGGAAACTGTAAAAATCTATTCTTAAAGGATTTCCGCACTTACGGAAGGACCAGGACAAACGGGACCTATTCATACCAAGGGACATGCGCACTGACTGACTGAGGACCAGGACCAATTAACAAATACATTTTCAAT